GATAAAAAGGCATACTACTTAAGTAGTCCGTTTTTACAATAGATACGTTTTCGTAGGAGTCGGAACGAAGCTCTTTAAAAGGCCGGCAATAGATACGTTTTGCTAGTGGTCAGAACGAAGCTCGTTTAAAAACCAACAACCTATACTGACTGAAATGACTTCAGAATAGACTACACGATAATCAGTATCACAAATCCTGACTGAAATGACTTCAGAATAGACTACACGATAATCAGTATCACAACTGGGCGTTTTGCTAGGAGTCGAAACGAAGCTCGTTAAAAAGCCGGCATCCTATCCTGGGTTTTGCTAGTGGTCAGAACGAAGCTCATTAAAAAGCCCGCATCCTATCATGGGGAGTCGAAACGAAGCTCGTTAAAAAGCCGGCTTCCTATCCTGACTGAAATGACCCTCAATTCCGATTAGCGAAAGAGTATTAGTCTTTCGCATATGTCAAAATATTGCATGATCAACCGCGTCTACTGTATATATGCAAAATTCTAACTGCCTTTGGTACTTTTACCATAAAAATGTCACATGAATGTAATCTGCCATCAATGTGTTTTTGCCCAAGTTAACACACAGGAAGCTTTCAGATTTTTTAACTTCAAGAAGGAAGATTTAGTGAGTTTATTTTGCCGGGAATAAATTCAGTTTTCTTGTAACGGAGTTCCGAGTACCAAATTACCTTCGAAAAAATGTTGCACGGAATTCACTTCTGCCCTTTCCGAAGGAATTATATCAAATTATGCGGCAATATTTTCGAGATCATGGTATCAGTTGGCGCTGTCGGCATTTCAACTAGCACGACTGTTATTTTTACCGACCGAAATATTCATATCATAACTTATGAACTCTGAAAGAAAATTCGGGAAATTATCATGTAGACGAGGCTCACTCGGCCTCTTGCGGGGACTGTAAACCATAAATGACGACAACATGAAGGCTTAGTGGAATGCAAGATTTGTAACCGCGTAATACCGCTTGGTTTTTAAATCTTTTGATCGTATATCGATTTTCCCAGCTTTTTATGTACCCATTCTTAATATTACTTTATTTTTGCACGGTGCCTCCGTTTCTGCAGGTCGGCAGGTCAGAGACCGAATTATTGAGGTAGCTATCTTTTGCTGAAGATCTTTCCACTCTCCGTTACCTATCGGTAGAGTGGACAACCTTCAGATAAACTAACAGTTTGACCATGCTCTCATGCTTTTGTTCTTGTCTCGATTATTTTGGTTTTTTGCAGTCGAAAGCATTCGGGGAAACTTTAAAGAGTACTTATTGAATTCAATTATCTGGCAGTATGCTAACACGAATTAAGGGTTGGACAAGTACCTACCGCGCTTACTGCAGGTCACTTTGAGTTAAATTCCAGGGGGAGGTACCTAGTCCCCTATCTACCCCTAACGCCAACCCTGACCCTAACCCTAAGGCTACTTTTCCTAACTCTAACTTCAAGCTTTAGCTTAATCACAAAATTTCTAACCCCGAGTTTAAGCCGAATCTTAACGTTCACATTTCTAAGCCTATTCTGCCCTTCTCTTGAGTTTGGCGCAAGGCAAAACTACCGAATTTACTAGTTGAGTCTTACCTTTGCACTTGGTATGTCTTTATCCTCTCCAGCATGGAAATTGGCATTTAATCCGATATTCATTCCCGCAGATAAAATCTTCTCCGTCTGTTCCATCGTAAAGTAACCTGTGCAGAGAGGGAGATGATGTTTATAGTTCATAGACAAAACCTGCCTTCTTTGCAACGGACATCGATATTTTGCACGCAGACCTCTCCAGTGTCCATAAGTTTCTTCAAGGCAGGTATCTGTTCCTCAACGATATGCGTCACAAACTCCTCCGTTGTCATGTTTCTTTACGGTAAAAACACAAAAACATTAGATTAGACTGTCTTACTTTGGTGTTGTGCTGGCGGCATAGAAGGTAATTGAGAGATCAATTGGAAGTTCTCGTTTCAGTCGGGTTAGGATACGAAGCAGTCTTTCCTCATTTTCCCAGGTTATTCCGTAGCCAGTCTTGCACTCTACGGTCGTTGTTCCCTTCTTAAGCATATTCTTTTTTGTGAGTAGAAGAGGGTTTAAGAGAGAGGACTCACGCGAAAATTAGCGCGACAGGACTCGTATAGAACGTTGTCCAAGCACGTTTTTGTAATTTCTGCAGTCTGAATAATGCCATCTCCAGTCTCCTGCATTTCCAAACTTAGAGCACCAGCCGCCTGCTAGGAGTGCCTTGAGAAGCTGCGAAGTGATCTTACCTTGTGAACTAGATCTGATACGCGGTCGCCCTCCCAAATAGGATAGGCGTGAGCGTCGATGAAGCCTGGAGTTCAAGAAGAAAGATAGTGGATTGATGATTATATCTAGCCTCGTTATCTGGCGATATGAATGCAATTATGTATAAACACTTATAGTAAAGTACGGCCTAAAAAATTCTGCCCTTTAGACAACCAAATCTATGGGGGATCTATTTCTTCTAGTACTTCTATTTCTTCAAGTACTTCTTCTAGTTCTTCCTAAACTATGTTGGATGTATGTATAACCACCATTGTATAGTTTTATGCATTAGAATCAATTGATTATAATTAAAAGTATGAGTTTACTATTACTTTTACAGCAAATTATACAAACGCAATTAGTACAAATCAAAAACGTTTTAGAGGCTGCCGAATCTTTCTAGCAGCAAGTAAGTCAGGCTTTCAAAACCCGCTTGTAAGCAAAGGAGACTGGATAATTAATGATACCATCGTCAAGAAACTAGAGAACTGGTAAGCAGCCTATGGGAGTCACCGAAAGTTTTCCCCAAATATTCTTATGTAGAAAAAACGGCTA